TACTGAAATTACAGAAGGGGATGAAATTAATAGCATATGTAAAGCCATCATCAATCAACACAATAGTTACAATAGGTTTGAGTATGGTGATGTATTGTGGAAGAGTATAATTTTACCATCTATTAGCTATGGATGTGGTGTATGGTTTTTAGAAAATAACGATGATAGGAAAAAGTTAAAAAGTCTGCAATATCAGTTTGGCAAATTCCTTTTTAAAGTCAACAGAAATGTTGCTTGCTCTGCTGTATTAGGGGATTTAGGATGGGCTGATTTGAGCTACACCCTTGATACTTTTCGAATTAAATATTTGAACAGATTACAAGAAATGAATAACACCAGATGGACCAAAATTGTTTTCACAGAATTGCACAAGTCGTATGTAAACAACCGTAAGCTTACTTGGAATTGGCCAACATATGTGCACAAAGTACTTGAAACTAACGGATTAGACCATGTCTATGGGTTAAACATACCTAACAATATAAACTGGCTCAAAAGCTTTTATAAAATAAGTGAACAAAATGAAGTAAAAACGTTTGCAGATCAAATATCTAATATGAAATCACTGGAACATTACAGTTGGGTTAAAAGAAATAAGGAAAAAGAAAACTATATAAATGATCCCCTTGATCATCATGGCATATCACTGTATTTTAAAGTCAGATCTAACTCACTGGATTTAGAGGGTAATAAAATAACATGGGACAAATATAAAAGGAATGGAATGTGCAAGCTATGTAATGACGACAAAGAAGATATTTATCATTTTCTATTTTTATGCAAAGCAACTTATCATTTAAGACACAAATTTTATGGAGATTTCATGTACAAAGTTCAAAACCTTGAAGTAGACCCAACACTTATTAATAACTTTCTTTCTGGAGGAATTAATTTTAAGTTTAATGTACTTTTTAGCGACATATTGTGGAAAGTCAACAATAATTTGGGGAATATTGTATCCAAGGAAGTTAGAGTATTTATTACTCAATTGTATAAGTATAGAAAAGAAAGTTTGAATTTAATGTGATTTTTCTTCTTTCCTTTTTCAAATATGTATGAGTTGGTTGTTTTCTTCTCTTTGTTTGCCGCTCCAAAGGCTAATAAAATATTATTATTATTATTATCCACAAATTAATGAATATTCATGAGCACAGACACTGCTATGTCATAAATAAATTAGCATAATTTAAAAAAAAAATTGCATAAAGTGTAGGTGCTCCTTCTGGAGTCCTGCAGGTTGGCCTTCTTCCGCTGATCATTCGGTCCGGGTGCCAACCTACAGGACTGTGCTCAGGGCAAAGACGGAGTTACCCGATACTTACCTATTGCGTTCTAGTACATCGCAACAGTCTGTACAAATATGCGTTTCTCCCAATTTGTCATTCAGCAGTTCAGTGTCGTCAACATGGAAAGTATGATCGGTATCTCCACCGCCTCTTTCCATAATCACGCCGCCGGTACTCCCACCGATGTGAATGACCTTTGAAAACAAATGTCACGTGACTACCTTCCGCGATTATATTAATACCTCGTGTTGCTTGATTATTTAGCCTATGATCAGACCATGACAAATTAATGTTATTGAATATAAGTTCGTGAACATAAAAAATTAATTAACAAAACGGTGAGTCCTTTCTAATCTCCAAAATCTTTCACCCTTTGGAGACAACAAGAAACGAGCAAACACATTCATAAAATGGCTGCGCCCATTGGAAGAAAGTTGTTGACATGAATACATTTATTTTTTTATTTTTACTCATTTCCAAATGAATAATCACGTTTAGCCACGTTAGTGATTCGACATTGATAACTGTGACGCACTGTAGTTCACCCTTTACTGTAAAGTAAATTTCGGATCATAGTCATACTGCTATTTTTGCTGTTGACATTTAATTCGTCATCATCAATTCATCAATCTAAATTCTGAGTCACGTAAGAAATGGCGAGCAACGTGAGTGGAAATGACAGCGGGAATTTACTTGAGCGAAATGGCAATCAAGAAAGGGTGAGTATTGTTTAATGCCACAATTACATAATTTGAGTTTGATCGCATTTTAATTTTTTTCTGCGATTAATTTACCAATATTTATTATATAAGGGGGGCAGCTATCTTGTATTTAGTTTCAAGCATTTTTTTCAAGATGGCTGCGCCAATGTAGTAAATATCTGTAAATCGCATTTATTTTAGTATCACTTGTATGAGCTGACTGTGGACGTTACAACCGCAAACATTTCATTACTTGAATCTGCCCTGAGGGATCTTGACTTAATTAATCTATTAATATGTAGCAGGCAATGCCTGGTGAGCGAGCACAGAAAATAGAAATTACATACCAGGTTAACCATAGAACGTCAAAGTGTGTGAACTGTGAAGTCGAGTTGATACTGTAAAATGCTTTATTTTAGCTAGAATTGATATTTGCTGAAAAGGCATTTTGGGTGTTTTGTATGGAATTTGTTTTCACTGATTTTTGACGAGTAAGTTGAATGTAAAATATAGAAAAAAAGGTACCGGTATATTCGCATGATTTTATTTTCACTGAATCATTAAAATTATATCCAAGTGAAAATAAAGCATTTTACAGTAGTTGAATCCTGAGTTGAGTGAAATTTATCAACACATTTTCTGTTTTGAATTTGTGTTTTATTGAAATAGACAGTTATTGTTTATTTTGTTGAAATTGATTACTCGTATTTGAGTAAATTTGAGGTATTTCTTGTGTTGTAGCCACGTCCACCTATCCTGATACTGTCGACTGTTTCCAGATTTCCGACTCTAGTGGAAGTAAAAGCCATACTCTTGCGCTAACCTTTTTATAATTATTACCTTATACTAAAATATGTTTGGATATTTAGTGGTAACAAATTCCCACTTCCGGTCTGGTTAGACATAAAATACGCCACGAATATTCACTTTTGAGATATAATTTTTGGTAAGTGTTGGTTCTCAGCTTTGTCGTTCTGTACTTCGTTTAGTAATTCGAACTTCCCAGATTACGTAAAAACAGATAGTTTCGCAATTTCAACACCGAAAATGCATTGGCTTAATTATTTGCTGAGGGACGGCGGCTTAGGTATGTGCTCTGTAACTTGCAGCACATGAACCCAAAAGCATTAGGTAATCAAACAAAAATGACGTTGTACCAAAGTACAAAAAGTACATTAAAGTTCTTCATTTTTCATAGTACAAAAACTATTTTCTCCCTCGCTTATTGTGACACCCTCAAATTGATTGATTTCCTTTCCCCTCAAAAGTCAATAATGGTTTTGTCCCCCATTTTACGCTACGGCTCGAAGCAGTCTTTTTTGCTTCACATGTTTATTTGCCTTGCTGTCACTTTCATCTTCAGAGTCTTGCCGATAACGTTTTGGTTCAAATTCTTGTAGCTACCGCCAAGCAAAAACGCCGTCGAAAAAGCTAATTAGCATAATAGTGTTTTGACATTTGTCACCATTTTTAATTATCCTTGACTTTTCTGTATTCCCACGCCAGAGTGAATTACACCATATAAACAATTGTCCCCAGGAGTCTGTAATAAGAATGAGTCCATGTCCTCTATTAAAAATACACAAAGGTTTGTGTTGTTTTGGTCTTCACTGGTCACCGTGTTTCCTGGAATCAAATATCGATTGAGTCGCAATCACTGTTCCCTTTAATTTTTTTGAATCTTGAAAATACTGTGAAAATTTGCCCATTTTCCCCTTGAAATGTTTTTTCTGCATACAAAATGCATGGAAAGTTTCTCAAAAGACAAAATTTCACTGAGAAACTACAATTGAATCTGAGAAAATTGAGCGAAAATAAGGCTTAGAGGGAACACTGGTCGCAATTACCGTAGCTATCGTTGAGGTAAATAGTCTCTCATCTCTTGGTTATTAAACAGGGACTGTGGTTATTACATGTATCACTGATTTTTCATCACTAGGGTGATTCACGTCCCACATTTTTTTTCCCCGCGCGCTTCTAAAATTAACCTATCCTATTTTTGGCCTCGACCTTTTTTTGCTCGAAAGGCAAATGATCGGATGATTTCTTTTGTTTCCAATTCGCTGTTTGCCTAGATCATGGCAACTTTGTTTTTTGGTGAATATATAACATGTTCTGTTCCAATAAAGGATTTTGATATGCATAACAATTCTTAAGTTACTGAAACATCTTCTGTACTCTAAGATGGACTTCCTGTTCAACGTGTTGTTAAATGTTCGAGACACTGTACGTAAAAACACACTCTCGAACTTGACAACATATACTTATTAGTTTCGCAGCTCTCCTGGCATCAAGCAACTGACTTTTAGCTTGTTCTGGGTTGTACATGTGTACATGTATATAACAGTCAGACTAATAAGTGACTAATAAGTAAGTACTAGTAAACAGTTCGAGGCATACAGTCTATATGGGAGTCTGAATCACTTTGGCCCTGAAGATACTGTCATCACACCGGGGGGGGGGGGGGGGGTAGTTCAAGTCAGACCTGGTACCCAAGTATAGATTTTCAAAAAAGCCTCTAAACATGTACTTATTTTTGTGAAATTATACAGGGCAGAAACTTAAAATAAATACCCTATATACATGTACATACTAAAATCACACTGTTTCCAAGTTGAGGTAACATTAATTCATGAGATTCCTTTATTTCACACTTTATTACTATATTCTAAGTTACATCCGGTACACATGACATCACACAGTATTCCATTAATGAACAAAATTCACATTACAATCTTATGCTTACAAATAATCTGATGATTAAGCTGGAGAATACAGTAATGGGAAACATCAAGTACACAATGTAGTCAAATCAGTAAGAAAAGATACTATGGACCCTATAGTATACATAAAATGTAACTACAGAATAAATGTCAGTTAATTAATTTTTTTACAAAATCATGCAGCCAACATGGACGTGTTGACAATTCCTAAAATTGCTGAATCGCCAGTTGTGAACTTTAAATCTTGTTTATTAGGATTCCCACAGGCTAATATTTTTGTCATTTTTAGTAAAAAATATTATTTTCAATTTTGTTCTTGAAAACTCCAAGCACTATTCCTTTAATGCTCAGTATGCAGATACCTTGGGTGGACCTCTGTCAGATTTGTCCATCTCATGACAATATCTTCAATTCTCTATAAGGTAGCAGCCATCTATTACTAGTAAGCTTCTGCTTTGGCCATACTATATTTCTCAGACCCATGTACAGTCTCATATTTTTGTCACATACATCATATCAGCATGTAGCCTATGTTTATTTGTAGGAATATCTTCTAAAGGTGGTATTAAATGTCTAAAAAAATAAAACAAAAAATATAAATACATAGCAGCAAATAATGGCTTTCAAGTAAAAGACCGATAAAGATGTTGGAAAATTTGATTTGTGCAATCTATACAGTCATGTGTTATGTTAGTTATACTGTATCACTACAATGCAGTGCAGATATACATACAAATAAAGTCACATATACATATATGACCATCTGGTATATTAGTCTGTCATATCTCTTGTCCAATGCTATTATAATATCACTGGCTGCATGCACCTATCTGCAACAGAGTTTCAACTAATACAGTTATGCATATCAAAGAGGTTACACAATGGTTATACATCATCTAATCATTATGGCAATAGTTGCAAGTTCCTTACTGCAACAATGCTTGAGCCTTGGAAGTTGTGCATATTAACAAGGTTACATGACTTTATATGGTCATTCTTTATTTCTTGTCTAATGTCATCACTATGGTACTGGTTGCATGTATATATCTACAAAAGAAATATTACAGTTGTGTATATTAATAAGCTAACTTGACCATATATGGTCATTTGATAAATTATTCATATCACTTGACCAGTGCGACCAATATTGTCTCTGGCTGCATGTTCTTATCTGCAACAGTATTTGAGATATGCCTATTTATAAAGTCACATGACCTTATATGGTCAGCTGTTATGTTTGTCTCTTGTATAATGTGTCCAATTAAAAAAAAAAAACAGATTTTTATTTGCAAATCACTATCTTAATGTATTATGTATTGCTCATTCAGTATACATTATGCATTGTATGAAAAAAATGTAATAAAACATTCAAAAATCTTCTTTCCCAGAAGGGCTGGGTTTTTTGAATAGAAAGATGAATTTGGGTAGTGTGCTATATGGCCAAGAAAATGAATGTTTTGGAATTTGTCTTCAATACTGATTATGCAAATGATATGCAAAACAAAATTTGAATCAAAAATAGCCAATTTCACTTTTTTCACATAAACTATGATTGCAACTAAACCATTTGACCTGGACACATGATTTGTACAGAGTAAACTTTACTAGTAAAGTAGACACCTGCCAAATTGCACACTGATTGGACAAACAGATCATGGGCAATTGGTCAATTACTTTAAATTACATAATCCAGGATGGCGACCAAACCATGTGATTACTTGAAAATCTGAAAAGGTTTTTTGAAAATTAAAAATGGCAGCTGAAGTCACTTGACCGTTTTTTTTACGAATCTTACTCCACATAGTCCATATAGATACTGTACAAAAAAATGTAATAATCCTAAACCCTCAGAAAGTGGCGTAATTAAGCACTTCTGGGTTTTACCAAATCCAAAATGGCAGCCACACCACATTACTAATCAAAAATCTGAAAAAATCACTTTGTAGAACATGTAGAATGTATATCTCAATTTTCAGCCAAAATGGTGCAGCCATTTTTGAAAAGAAGTCTTTTGAAAATAGTGACGCAATAATAATAATAAACACTACAATAACAAAGAGCTTTCAAGCCTGAAGGGCCTTTAAAATAAATATAATAAAAATGTACATAGATCATTCAGGATTAACATTATAATTCATAAAGCCATAACAAATAATCATGCTTATGATACTGGACTCTTTATTTGAGTTTTGATATGAGAATAGTAATACATGTCACAGGTAACAAATTTGGATTAGTATTAACCAACAGATTATCCCCTATAAGTCAGAGGGTCATCAAAATCTACAGTTTCAGAGACATATTTTTAATAATTTTACTAAATTTTAAAGTAATTCAATCCACAATTTTCTAAATATATCTGGCAATATTGCTACATTGCCAAAGCCCAGGTGCTTTTACATTCCTATATTATTTAATTTGTTTCTATTGTAAAAGACTGCATATGCAAATTATATTATTATACAAGCTATGGAAGGATTAAATCCAGGTATGGCCTATGAGGGCACTGCACCGCAGAAATAGGGAGGGAGAGAAAAACACCAGGTACGGCCTATGAGGGCACTGCACCGCAGAAATAGGGAGGGAGAGAAAAACACCAGGTACGGCCTATGAGGGCACTGCACCGCAGAAATAGGGAGGGAGAGAAAAACACCAGGTACGGCCTATGAGGGCACTGCACCGCAGCAATAGGGAAGGAGAGAAAAACACCAGGCACAGCCTATGAGGGCACTGCACCACAGCAACAGGGAGGGAGAGAAAAACACATTAGGTTTCAAATTGACATAAAGAGCAAATTAAATTTAAAACCTGAATTGTTATTTTTTTATGAAATAAATGCAAAGATGTGTTTTCAATGAAGTCTCTTGTTATTTGTTGTTTATGGTAACATATCTAGCTGAAAAGGCAATGTCTTTCATACAAGAGTCAATTCTATTCTTCAATAACCAGAAGGTTATTGACCCAAGTAATTCTCTGGCATCTGACATGTTACTACAGTTGTTTCTGCATATAAATGATGTCATTGTCTTGGTATGCCTTCTCATATCCAACCTCCTCACCTTCCACCATGCATTGTAATACCTTCCATGCCTTCACAAAGTCTTTCACATATATTGGATAACATATCAGTAGTTGTCTACCACAGAGCTGCTCAGTTTTCATAGATTACATCGATAACTGCTAGAATGGATGAACCAAGGCCACAGAGACCCACTTCATTACCGTTTGATAAATTGAAACAGAATTACTTTATCCCGTTCTTCACCGATCAGAGCAAGTTACAACAGGTGCGGGTGTGGTAGTGTTTTATTCATACTATGATAATTGGCATGCAACACATGTTACTTTATAACTGTAATACTTTATCTATATATAACATGTATATTTCCATGTTAATAGCACTTGAATTCTCAATGCCCAATGCAAATTTTCGGACGTCAACATCAAATTACTTTAATTAATTAAAATCTAAATTTTTTGTATATTTTGTATGCCATAATCACTCTAGACACGAGACATCATTGTAGTCTGTCACTATTCTGACATAATTTATGTTTGGATCAAACTACTTAGGGGCATCTCTGGCAATTGTAATGCACTTTTTTTGTCATCAAATAGAAGCACCTATGGGTTAGTCAGCTCAACGTAAAGTCTCATTGCTCACCAATAATATTATATTACCAGTGAATTAAATTACATCATCATTCAGACTATTGGACATAATGGATTTGAGCAGCTTGGTCCAAAACATAATAGATTACTGTGTTCTTTCTTAAATACACTGTAAGACACTCATACACAGGATTGAATATAAAATCAGACCTTTACTTTAATTTTGCCTAGGAATGGAAAAGTAAGAAATGAAATGTAGACCAGAACAATTTTTCCATGTTTGATGTGAATACAATTGTATTGCATTATACCATGGCTGATTCCAAATTACTATTTACGTACCATGAAAACTAAAGACTGTACACAAATAGGATATCAGTACCTGTGATCTGAGGAAGCTGTCATAGTTTGTTTGAAGCAGTGGTGAACAGTGTACCATGTTCATTTGCACATGATATCACATTGTGACATTTCACCACATATTATATACTCTTCCAGGATTTAAATACTGATCATGTTTCACATGTTGATGTATCTAAACTCATATTCTTCTTAGCCTGTGTGATAATCTGGGGTAAAATAAATATGTTCTCAGAATATTGAACAGTTCATGTTAGGTTTTCTCTCAATCTCTCGCGCGACAAATTTACTGGTATTGATAATGTATGATCTTGATTTTCACCTTGCATGTATTTGTAACATAAAGTGTCCTTTCATCCATTATGGGTTGAATGCCTTAGGTTATCCATTTTTGTCCAATTGAATCTTGGCAGTGACTTTGACAACTGCATTTAACATGATGTGCTCACTAAGGGTTAAAGGTTACTTTCTCATCCTAACGTCCATGTAAAATTTGACTGTATGTGTGTGTCTGTTCCACTGATATCTCAAGAACCATACATTGATTTTTGATGAAACTTGGTGCATAGATGCTCTGGGCCAATGCGCAGATTAGATTTGGTTTTTGTAAAAATCCATGCATATTAATTACCTAATTTGCATGATAATTAGCTGATTTTTAGCTGTTCTATGACTGTTCCACTGATATCTAAAGAACCACTCATTGGATTTTGATGAAACTTGGCACATAGATGCTCCAAACTAATGCGCAGATTTGATTAGTTTTGGGTAAAAATCTGCAATATTAATTACCTAATTTGCATAATGATTAATCAATTTTCGACTGATATCTCAAGTACTAATCATCACATTTCAATAAAACTTAGTACATAGATGTCATAGGACACTGCACAAACCTGATAGTTTTTAGGGTAATATGAGTACATATTAATTACCTAATTTTCATAATTAATTAATTTTCAGCTTTTGATATTTCAAGTATTAATTATCACATTTCAATGAAATTTGGTACATAGATGTCTAAGGACACTGCTCTGACCTGATAGTTTTTAGGGTAATATCAGTACATATTAATTAGCTAATTTGCATAATTAATTAATTTTCAGCTTTTGATATTTCAAGTAGTAATCATCACATTTCAATGAAACTTGGTACATAGATGTCATAGGACACTGCACAAACCTGATAGTTTTTAGGGTAATATGAGTACATATTAATTACCTAATTTGCATAATTAATTAATTTTCAGCTTTTGATATTTAAAGTATTAATTATCACATTTCAATGAAATTTGGTACATAGATGTCTAAGGACACTGCACAGACCTGATAGTTTTTAGGGTAATATGAGTACATATTAATTACCTAATTTGCATAATTAATTAATTTTCAGATTTTGATATTTCAAGTAG